TTTTTTTTTTTTTTTTTTTTATTTTTTGCTCATGCCCCTGCCAGTGATTTTTTTAAAGCAATTTCAAACTCTGCTCATAACAAGCGACCCAGAGGAGCAGGGGGGTGCAGAAACTGCTGTTCCCAGCTCATTTTGGAGGGATTTGTCTCATTTTGGCTCCTCCCTGGGCTGGCTGGGGTTGGCAGCCCCGGGCATGCCGAATGCAGGAGCTGCAGCTCTCCCTCCTGCACAAAGATGGAGCTTTTTTAGAAATCAGCTTTCCAGAGTTAATTTTAGCCTTCAGCATCAGCTCCAGGGGGAGGTCTGTGGAGCTGGCTTCGTTTTGGCTGGGGTAGATCTCTCCAGCATGATCTAATGCTCTAAACTCTCCAGTAGGCTGGAAGCAGTTAAATGGGATTTTTTTTTTATTATTATTATTTTTTTTAATGAGGAGCTTTATCTGGTTAAAATGTACCTCACCCCCCACCCCTCCCACTCTAGAAAATCTGTGTCTGTGTTCCAAGGACTGGGAAAACTTTTGCAACAGAAAATGCTATAAATATTTCCCCTTATTCACTAATTTGCTGCTCTTTGTGCCTTTCTGTCACTGGAAGCAAAGCTGTTCTTTTGGCTTAGAGAACTGCAGGGAAATTTTATTTTTTTAATAATCCAAAACAAAACCAAGAAAATAAATTTGGGGGGTTTTTTTGTGTGTGTGTGTGCTCGTTTAGCTGATGGGAACAACAGCCTTGGAAATTTGGTTTGCAGAGATTTGTTTGATTTGGTGTTTCTGGAGCAGATCTAAAGGTGCCTCTTTAATGAGGTGTCTGTCCCTCCCCTGCGGTGCAGCTTTGTGCCTGTGGCCTCCAGGAGGGTCTTTAAAGGAGGCTTAGCATCTTCTGCATTGTTTTCTGGGCAGGAAGGAAATAAGAAAAAGCTGTTTTCCCTTTCAGGAAGGTCGGGGAGAGCTTTTCCCTTCCCCTCTCTCGCTGCTGCTGGGATGAGGGGCAGTGCTGGTACATTAATTCCCTTTTCCAGTTATTATTATTATTATTTTCCAGTTATTTTCTGTCCTCCCTCAGATCCACATCACCTTCTCACAGAGTCCTGATTGCTTAAAATGCCCTCAGAAATTCTGGATAAAACATTTGGAACAGTTCTGAGGTCAGGAGGGATGAGGAGCTCCACTTTAATTTAAAGGGAGCTGTAGAAAGGACACTGCTGGCTGGAGATCCCCCATTTCACACTCTGTGCCACTTACCCTTCCCAGACTCCAGACTGCTCAGCCAGAGCCTTCAATAAATTCATTTTCAGCTCCTTAAATCAGTCCCTGACAGCACTGAGGGTACTGCACATGTGAATATATTGAATATATTAAATTAAATGGATTAAATGCATTCCCCCCCAGCCCTTAAAGAGGTGCACAGTTTGTTGTTATTGCAGCTCCAGCAGCCTGAGTCTCCTCTGGAAAGCACAGCTGGGTGAATTCCCTGCTGGGAGAGCAGAGCACAGGAATGGGCACATCCCCAAAATACCCCAAAAATCCTTTGAGGGGCTGAGCATCCCTGGGTGCTGTCCCTGTGCTCCTGGGGACATCACAAACATCCCCTGGGATGGGGACGGAGTTATCCCCAGGGATTTCCTGCCTGGTCATCCCATGGGATGTGAGGCAGGAACAGAAAATGTCCCAATGGAGCAGCCAGGAGATGAAACACTGAGCAAAAGGGCTCTGGAACTCTCCAGAAAGGGAAAATATCCAGGAATCAGGGCTGGAAACCAAGGATTGGAGACCTCCAGGAAAAAATTCAGTGGTGTTTTCTGGAGCCAGTGAAGCCATTAAAGTCTCAGCCTCACTGGGAATTCTGCTAATTTGGAAATCTGCAAATCCTGGGCACCTTTCTGGAATATCAGCTTTTGGCTGGATAGGTCTGATCCAGGAGGTGGCTGATGTTTTACGGCCTGTGTGGTTCCAGGCAGGCTGCATGTGCAAATTCACCCCTTTAATCCACATGTCAATAAGGATAAAAGATAATAATCGATTTTCTAAAAGATTGAACTCCTCTGACCAATGAATTCTGCAAATGAAAGCTTTCCTCCACACAAAGTCTCACCTGGGGATATCAGCTCCACACCAAGGCCTAAATCAAGGCCTGTGCATTATTTAAATCCCACACAAAACCTGGTTCAAGGATTTATTTGGCACACAGAGGATCAGTTATGACTGGTTCTCTATGTGAGGGCATCCCCCAGCACAATCACAGAACCAAGAATGATTGGGGTTGGGAGGGACATTAAATCCCATCTGGTGCCATGGCAGGGACACCTCCCACTGTNCCAGCCTGGCCTAGGCCAAACCCTGTCCAGCCTGGCCTGGAATAAACTCTGTCCATCCTGCACTGGGCCAAACTCTGTCCAGCCTGGCCTGGAACAAATTCTGCCCAGCCTGGCCCAGGCCAAACCCTGAGCAGCCTGGCCTGGGTGCCTCAGTTTGTGGTTGAGGATGGGGCACAGCAGCACAGTGGGGTGTCCCCGTGACTCTGTCCATCCTGCTCTGGGCCAAACCTTGTCCAGCCTGGCCTGAGACAACTCTGTCCAGCCTGGCCCAGGACAAACCCTGTCCAGCCTGGTCCAGTACAAACAAACTGTCCAGCCTGCTCTGGGCCAAACCTTGTCTAGCCTGGCCTGGGATAAACTGCCCAGCCTGGCCTGGGATAAGCCCTGTCCAGCCTGGTCTGGGTGCGTCAGTTTGTGGTTGAGGATGGGGCACAGCAGCACAGTGGGGTGTCCCGGAGACTCTGTCCATCCTGCTCTGGACCAAACCTTGTCCAGCCTGGCCTGGGACAAACTCTGCCCATCCTGCTCTGGACCAAACCTTGTCCAGCCTGGCTTGAGACAAACTCTGTCCAGCCTGGCCTGGATGCCTCAGTTTGTGTTTGAGGATGGGGCACAGCAGCACAGTGGGGTGTCCCCATGTCCCAGCTCAGCTTTGGACTCTTGGTGGTCACAGAGCAGCAGATTCAGGACATGAGACCATCCTGGATGTGTCTGGAAGCACCTGGGCACAGCTTTGGGTGCTAATTCACAATTAGCCTAATTACCCAGAGCTACCAAACAGCAACCAAGACCTGTGGTGTCAATAACACTCTGAACTAACCCAGCAAAGTTGTGACTTCTTCTGTTGAGGTGGGAATCTTCTTTTTTTTTTTTTCTTTTTTTTTTCCCCTTTATCACGCCACCTGTTGCTCATAGGTACAAATCAAACGAAGAGTATGTGTATGTGCGAGGCCGTGGAAGAGGGAAGTATGTTTGTGAGGAGTGTGGAATTCGCTGCAAGAAACCCAGCATGCTGAAGAAACACATTCGCACGCACACAGACGTCAGGCCGTACGTCTGCAAGTACTGTAACTTTGCTTTTAAAACCAAAGGTAAGCCACAGCCAGCTGCCAGCTCCTCTGCTCAGGGTGCTGGCACTGCCAGCCTGCTGGGGGCACCCAAAAAGGGCGAGGGAAGGCATTGCCAGGGGCTGGCAAAGCCCCCCAGTTGGAGGGAGGGGGATGAGGGAGTTGGAAATTGGTTGGTGTTTCCAGAAGAGCATCCCTGCCATCCTCCTTGTGCTTGTCCAAGGAGAAAGTCCTGAAATGCAGCTTCTCTGGCAGGGCTTTCTGAACAAAACCAGGAGCTCCAGGATGAGCCCCTGGATCCAGGCTCTGGGGGGCCTCTCCTGCTGCTCTGCCCATTCTCATCCTCTGCAGTTGCATGTGGCTTCCACATTCTCTGTATCACATCAAAGGACCTTTTCCCTAAAGGTTTTCATCCCAGGACATCGAGCCATCAATGCCACCAGGTGTGCTCTGCCATGGCCTCAGCGAGGGTGTCACGGAGAGCAGGCAGGAGTCTGTAAACCACAGGCAGAATAAAACTTCATTCCATGAGAAATGGGGAATGGGACCTTCCAAATGGGTCAGAGATGCATTTAACTTCTTGTAGGGGTCTGGCACTGTGGGTTGGACAAAGCTCTGGTGGTAGCAAGTCTTGGGATAAGGCAGCAGCAAGTATGAAGCTTGGGTTCTTGGTTACAGCTGGACAGAGCTCAGGGAGCATTTGGACAATGCTTTTGGGCACATTTCGGGGTTTTGGGGGCTGTTTGTCTTGGTTTGGAAAGCCAGGTGTCTGCTAAGGAAGGCAGGAACCTCCCCTGAAATGGAGAATGTAAACCTTCCCCACCCCTCTGCATTGCTATAAATTTTAAATTAAGGGGCTCTCAGGCAAAAATATGGGAGGGGAAATAATAGTTCTTTAATAGGGAAGGGAAAAAAAAAGATAAAATAAACAATGCAGTGAACTAAACCAACACTGCCAGAGTCAGAACCCAACCTGACACCCTGTGGGTCAGGCTGTTGGCAGCAGTCCCATTGGAA